GTCGTCGAAGACATCGACATCAAAAGGCCGCCGCCGGGAACCGGCAACGCGTTTGCGTTTGTACGATTTCAAACCTTGGACATGGCGCATCGCGCTAAAGTCGAGCTTTCTGGGCAGTACATCGGAAAATTCCAATGTAAAATCGGATACGGAAAAGTCACGCCCACCACTCGCATTTGGGTCGGCGGTTTGGGGCCGTGGACTTCGGTTCCGCAGTTGGAGCGCGAATTTGACAGGTTCGGTGCGATTAAAAAGATCGATTACACGAAGGGGGATACTCAGGCTTATATTTTGTACGACAGCATCGACGCCGCGACCGCGGCGGTAAAGGAAATGCGAGGGTTCCCGCTGGGTGGCCCGGAACGGCGTTTACGCACGGATTTTTCGGATGTCAATCCGCCGTTACCGTACCATCGGCCGAAGCAAGTGTATCCGCCGCATGATGAAGTGGTGGAGTACAGACGGGGTGTCGAATATGAGTACGACGTGTACGAGGGCGAAGCCGGCTATCCCAGAGGATATAGAGGTAGGCCGGTTTACGCCGAGCGAAGGGGCGGCAGTCGAGGGCCCTATAGGTACCCGGAAGACGAGTGGAATAGACCGGTTGGTGATCCCGAATACGAGAGGCGGCGGTCTGGATCGCGAGGTGCCGACAGATCACGGTCACGTTCTCCCCGCCGGTCGCCCGACTCCGATTCGGACAGCGGCTCGCGTAGAGCCGGTTTACTCGCTTCAAGTCGTACACTGCCCGAAGTGGCACGAAAATGTTCGACGATTTGGCAAGGGGCTTTAATACTCAAGAATTCGCTTTTCCCCGCCAAGTTCCATTTAATAGATGGCGATACGGATATCGTCGACGGCTTAATGAAGGACGAAGATGGCAAGCATCAATTGCGAATTACGCAACGACTGAGATTAGATCAACCGAAATTGGAGGACGTGCAAAAACGGATTTCTAGTGCTTCGTCTCACGCGATATTTTTAGGTTTGGCCGGATCGACGGCTTCGGTCACTAACGACGACAGTAGTGTTCAAACCAGACCACTCAGAAATCTGGTCTCGTATTTAAAACAGAAGGAAGCCGCAGGTGTAATATCACTGCTTAACAAAGAAACCGAAGCAACGGGAGTATTATATTCTTTCCCTCCTTGTCCCTTCTCCACGGAACTAATAAAACGTTCCTGTCCCAACTTACCCGACGAAGCTATGAAGGAAGACCACTTGATTATAGTTGTGGTACGTGGTGGCACTGCCTAAACCTATCTTTTCCTTTTATTTTTCTTTAGCCACACGTATGGTATACACAGTAGGCGATTTTTAGATTATTTTTGATTTCCAATTTTATTTTTTTATCTTTTTTTAAGTAGAGAGACAAGCTATTAACTCGATAGTAGGTCATCTTATCATAGTCTTAACGTACCTAGTAAGTAAAATCTAACATTTTTTGAGTTATTTCAGGAGATTGGTGAGCAACGCTAAGTCACTTTATTCATGAATTTGTGATCATGTTTATATTTGAAGAATCTTGTGCAGTTCTTGACTCAAACTTGTACCTACTGGTTTATTGTTAGTGAGCAGTGTAGTGCTGCAGTTCTTTCCCATTTTTTTTTTGTTTTTCCTGTTCGGTGATGTGAAATTGGGTTCTCAACTTTTATTGCCTGAAATTGCGTGTGACGCTTTCTAAGAATATGTGAAAGAACTGTACTTACATTTGTTTTATAAACAAAAAGGTGTAAGAGTAGTGTTTTATCGAATGTGACCAGGAAAATTTGAACATTTCAGTGAATTATTCACAGTTCTCATTTTGTTAATGAACTAGCCTCTCTGCTCGTGTTTATTTATAGTGCTTGTGAAACTATATAAATTCATCATTATGTATTTCTCATTAATAAAAACTGTGCTGGTGTTGTGCTTCCAATTTTTTTTTCTGATTGAAAGCAGTGATGCTTGGTAAGTTTTGTGAAAACTTGTTTAAAAAACTCATTTTTTTTCAGTAAATTCCAGATATGGTTCTGGGAATACATCGTAAACATGTCAAAGATCTTCAAAATTTAATTGTACAACATTGTATTTTCCTGGGTATGATTTCTGTGATATTTTCTCTCATTGAATGTGCTTAATTTATGTAGGCATATTACCAAATCATTTGGTACTGTCACTAAGAACTGTTGATCAATTTACATGTGACAGTAAAATGTTACAATTTGTGTTTGTGACAAATTACATTTAGTAATTAAGCACTTTTGTTATGAATTGTGTAATGATTATTAAATCCTCCAGGTTTTTCTATAAATTTTGTAAAGAAATTAAAAGTAATTATTCATTAGCCAAGCCTGGGAGAATTGACAAGTAGAAAAATTCTCCAAACTCGTAATTAGCGAATTTGCATTTAACAAACGGGAAAATCTGGAAGTTGTCATGGAATTTTATGAGAAATGCACCATTGCCGTTTATCTGGGCATACCTAAACGTCCAAAAAAACCCGAATTACCGGTTCTATTTATGCAATTGTTTTGCTTGTAAAACTGGCCTACTTGAACAGTGTATGGGTTCATTGCGTAAGTTGTTTTAGTTTCAGGGAAATGACATTTGTTTTGATTCAGTTATAAATTAGCCCAGTACTTTTAGGATAAAAAGTGTATAGTAAGAGCTGAAAATTTGAAGATCAACTGTTTAAAAGTAACAAACCCTGAAAAGTCTCAACTTCTCATTTAAGCTTCCATCCAAAATGGTGGATCAAAGACCTAACCATTATTAGCCTTGTTTGATGTTTTTAACTATTGTTTACATGAAAGTTAATATTTGCTTCTTAAAATCGTCTTTTCTACATAAATTCAATGCTTATGTATAATTAAATTACTTAGTCCAATGAAACAGTTGCCGAACTTTTGTCAAATTGCGGTACATATTCTTAATTGGCTTTAGACTCTGAATCTATCAACACCTAAGAGATGCTATTCATGAACTTATAGTAGGTACCCATAATGGAAGCAAGTTTGAAGATCTAAAAGAAAACTACGCATTAAAACGAACGTTAATTCTATTGAAACAAAGTCCAAACGTTTCCAGAACTCTTAAATTGTGGTCACAGTACTTGGAACAAGTTACATTTATTCATATCTCCATTCAAGGAGCTCGAACTGGAGACTGGGATATTTACATTTGTACAGTATTAAATCATGGTGTCGTAGCAGGAGCCCGAGGGATGAAAGACTCAACTTTTTCCTACAAGCATGAAAGTATGTGAGGCCTTGGAAGCTTTTTGTGAAAACTCCTTTGTATTGAACTTCGGCCTTCCAGACGGTCGAGAGATGATTCTGATTTGATTAAACTATCCAATTGGCTGCAGCTTCGTAAGTAATCCTTTTGATGATCAACGTACTACACATCTACTAATCAAGTTAGCCATGCAAAATTATAATTTGCAAGAAAAAAGGAAACAATTTAATTAAAACAAATGCCTTGCAACTTATTCTATTTACATATCATTTACATATTAATTAATTAGTTGATAAAACTAACTGTAACAATGCAAAGGGTGTTGGTGAATAATTATATCACTGTCCTGAAAAACCTGAAGTTTTCTATCAAGCCTTGTCCTAACGCACTATCGGTTGTCCCCGCCCATTTGTCCGCCATATTGGAATTTGTAATTACTACCCATTGTGTTTAATTGTTTAAATGGGGAAATCGTACCTAACTTGAGCTTCCAAAGGCATGCGTGGTATTTTAGATTACTATAAAAGGTATTTGATATGGTGACATAAAAAACAGCACGGGAAAGACTAAAAAAAGAAGGTAGATAGATATTTTTTCAAAGAGGCTTGCTAAAAATGCGTTTGTATAATACATAGCTATATACATTTTAAAAAATAATTGTTTTGTGACTAATCGCCAAACGTGTACTCAACGTAAGCAACAGATGCAACTTTTCAATTAAGATATTGGTGACTATATAAGAGGTTGCGCCGACGCTGGCCTGTTATCGCTTCACTTTTCAATTTTTCGCGCATTAGTTCGCGAAAGTTTAAACGGTACGGTGTATGCAGCGTTATTTCAGTGATAAATGCAGTGTAGGATTATGGTCTTTCTCTTCGAGAAATTGAACTGCTGGACTAAAGGCCAGTTTTCATTTAATTAAAATGCATGTAAAATTGGGATAATATACGCAATTTAAAATGGTTTAATTTTGTTTTAACCGTGGTTTTTTTGTGTGATTGTTATAATCGGAATTTTGATTTCTCATGAGGTGACTTAAACACCCAAAAAAGGTAAATGGGTTGCGATTCTACACCTTTATCAAAACAGATATGAAGAGTCAATTATCCAAATTTGTTACGAACTAATTAAAGATACAAATTTTCAAAGATTAACTTTACGGCGCGAATAACCAGTCAAGTGCGCTCGAGAGTGACATTCATTCTCTTGGCGTTCTTCCATTAATAAATGATTTCATTATTGGCGTAATTCATTTTTAGTAGTAACAAATCAGAAGTGGGATAAGGATCCACGAGCGGTGTGGTGGTACTTGGAGATTGGCGAAACCGACGGCTCAAAATTAGTAAGGTGAAGTTAATTAATCAACGGCGACAGGCGTAATCTTATTTACCTTCCTTGTGTTGGGGGTAGTATTAATTTGGCGTGTCCAAAAATAGGGCGAATTTTGAAAACTAAAACGCAACTGTGCGATAATACCTATCAGTGTTCAAGATTAACACGTGCACAGTCTATTGTGCTTGCAGGTAGTGGTAGCGTAATATTGGCGTCTCAAGTTGGTTAAGGAAACCTATTGGTTCCCTATAGGAAGTCCAGTTGATGCTGGACTGCGGTTTGCGCCATCTCTGGTAATCCCTATACCTTTCCTTATTATTTTCTTGTAATAGTTGAACCAGTTCCAATGAGATCGCCACGCACGAAACTACATTCGCTAGAACATTTTAATTTATGCACTTAATAGCCACGTCCGACTCAATTTTCCTTAAAGGGCAGTTGAAAATATGCAATTGCATGTAGGATTTGTAGAGCAATTGTACTTCAATGATCCAGTATCTGGAATTGTCTTTTGTGTATGCAATTGGTACATTTGCGCCATCTCTTTGGTAATCGCTATACTTTTCCTAATTATTTTCTTGTAATAGTTGAACCAGTTCCAATGAGATGTCGCCACGTACGTAAATACCTTCACAAGAACATTTTAATTTAAGCACTTAATGGCCACGTCCGACTCAATTTTCCTTAAAGGGCAGTTGAAAATGTGCAATTTCATGTAGGATTTGTAGAGCAATTGTACTTCAATGATCCAGTATCTGGAATTGTCTTTTGTGTATGCAATTGGTACATTTGCGCCATCTCTTTGGTAATCCCTATACTTTTCCTAATTATTTTCTTGTAATAGTTGAACAAGTTCCAATGAGATGTCGCCACATACGTAAATACCTTCACAAGAAAATTTTAATTTAAGCACTTAATGGCCACGTCCGACTCAATTTTTCTTAAAGGGCAGTTGAAAATGTGCAAATTTATGTAGGATTGGTAAAGCAATTGTACTTCAATGATCCAGTATCTGGAATTGTCTTTTGTGTATACAATTGGTACATTTGCGCCATCTCTTTGGTAATCCCTATACTATTACTAATTATTTTCTTGTAATAGTTGAACCAGTTGCAATGAGATGTCGCCATGTACGTAAATACTTTCACAAGAAAATCTTAATTTAAGCACTTAATGGCCACGTCCGACTCAATTTTCCTTAAAGGGCAGTTGAAAATGTGCAATTTCATGTAGGATTTGTAGAGCAATTGTACTTCAATGATCCAGTATCTGGAATTGTCTTTTGTGTATGCAATTGGTACATTTGCGCCATCTCTTTGGTAATCCCTATACTTTTCCTTATTATTTTCTTGTAATAGTTGAACCAGTTCCAATGAGATGTCGCCACGTACGTTAATACCTTCGCAAGAACATTTTAATTTAAACACTTAATGGCCACGTCCGACTCAATTTTCCTTAAAGGGAAGTTAAAAATGTGCAATTTCATGTAGCATTTTAGAGCAATTGTACTTCAATGATCCAGTATCTGGAATTGTCTTTTGTGTATGCAATTGGTACATTTGCGCCATCTCTTTGGTAATCCCTATACTTTTCCAAATTAATTTCTTGTAATAGTTGAACGAGTTCCCATGAGATGTAGCCACGTACGTAACTACACTTAAAAGATCATTTTAATTTATGCACTTAATAGCCACGTACGACTCAATTTTGCTTAAGACTAGAAACCAATTTCGAAAGAAAATTCAAAGGGCTGTAACTTTTGATGTGGTAAAATGTTATTACTTCTTTTGCTTCTGATGGATTTCTTTTAGATTCACTCCGATCTTCCGATCTGGAGGCCATCGAGGTTGCGATGCTGCCTGAGACTTGCCTCTTCTAGTCTTCAGAAAATGTTACTACGTTTTCATCTGCCATTCTGCTTTAATCATGGCGCTTGTCGAGGCTACTTTGGAATGGAATATACAGAGTAAGTCAAGTGTTTTCACTTCTATTGCTTCTGATGGATTTTTTTAAAGATCAATGCACTTCGATTGCCAATGGTAGATAGAGGCCATCTAATGATTACAATGCTGCCCAATATACGTATGTACCTTGCAGCTTTTAGAAAGGATTCACCGTGGAGCTTGTCAAGACCACTTTGGTTGGGATGTGACATATAGGGTGCGTTAGGGTTAACCTTCGATTGCCAAGGACAGGTGGAGGCCATCGAATGATTGCGATGCTGCCGGAGACGTGCCACCTTCAGGTCTTCTGCAATTCCTAATTTACATGGAGCGCCTCAATACCACTTGTAAATGGAATATACAGGGTACGTCAAATGTTTTCGTTTCTATTGCTTCTGATGGATTACTTTTAGAGTCAATTCCACCTCGATTGTCAACGAACTTCTGAAGACGGAGGCCATCCAGGATTGCGACGTGCCACTTTCACGTTAGGGAAGGTGGCCAACTTTTCCATATGGGATTCCACAACGAAGTGCCCGTAAGCCTTGCGTTACGCCGGAGAAAAACAGTTTTGAAGGTGAGTAAATTTATTCACTACTAAATCTTGCATCACAATTTATAATGTAGCATATAACAACATATTTGTATTGTTTTAGAAGTCGCCTCGTCTCTATGAAGTTGCAGCCACAGGAGCTGTGAAGCAAACCACGTCCATTTGGAGAACCTGGAAAATACAAGTCCTTTTGAAAGCCTTCTTGAAAAATTCAAAAATCAAAAAACTTTTTTGAAAACTCTTGAAAAATTCAAAAAACTTTTTTGAAAACTTTCTTGAAAAATTCAAAAATCAAAAAACTTTTTTGAAAACTTTCTTGAAAAATTCAAAAATCAAAAAACTTTTTTGAAAACTTTCTTGAAAAATTCAAAAATCAAAAAACTTTTTTGAAAACTTTCTTTAAAAATTCAAAAATCAAAAAACTTTTTTGAAAACTTTCTTGAAAAATTCAAAAATCAAAAAACTTTTTTGAAAACTTTCTTGAAAAATTCAAAAATCAAAAAACTTTTTTGAAAACTTTCTTGAAAAATTCAAAAATCAAAAAACTTTTTTGAAAACTTTCTTTAAAAATTCAAAAATCAAAAAACTTTTTTGAAAACTTTCTTGAAAAATTCAAAAATCAAAAAACTTTTTTGAAAACTTTCTTGAAAAATTCAAAAATCAAAAAACTTTTGAAAACTTTCTTGAAAAATTCAAAAATCAAAAAACTTTTTTTTTAAAACTTTCTTTAAAAATTCAAAAATCAAAAAACGTTTTTGAAAACTTTCTTGAAAAATTCAAAAATCAAAAAACTTTTTTGAAAACTTGAAAAATTCAAAAATCAAAAAACTTTTTTGAAAACTTTCTTGAAAAATTCAAAAATCAAAAAACTTTTTTGAAAACTTTCTTGAAAAATTCAAAAATCAAAAAACTTTTTTGAAAACTTTCTTTAAAAATTCAAAAATCAAAAAACTTTTTTGAAAACTCTTTAAAAATTCAAAAATCAAAAAACTTTTGAAAACTTTCTTGAAAAATTCAAAAATTAAAAAACTGTTTTGAAAACTTTCTTAAAAAATTCAAAAATCAAAAAACTTTTTTGAAAACTTTCTTGAAAAATTCAAAAATCAAAAAACTTTTTTGAAAACTTTCTTGGAAAATTCAAAAATCAAAAAACTTTTTTGAAAACTCTTGGAAAATTCAAAAATCAAAAAACTTTTTTGAAAACTTTCTTTAAAAATTCAAAAATCAAAAAACTTTTGAAAACTTTCTTGAAAAATTCAAAAATCAAAAAACTTTTTTAAAACTTTAAAACCTAAACCTTTTGAATTTCAAAAACAATTCAAAAAAGTTTTCAAAAACTTGAAAAATTCAAAAAACTTTTGAAAATTAAACAAAACTTTAAGTTTGAATTCAAAAATCAAAAAACAATAAATCTTACATTATTCCAGGTGTGACTATATAAAATTCAAAAAACAAAATCAATTTTATGTACTGCATCACGTAAAATAAGTTTCTTGTTCTGTGACAGTAACTTGGAAATAAATAACATACGTCATCACTTTTGTTTAGTTTCCTTTGATCCCAGGTTAGAATTAATTAATTCTGTCATGGATACTGTGCAATTAGCAAGTACCTACCTCTGTATAATGTATTCCGGATTTTCGGCTGGCTTTGCTGACTCGAGATCGTATAAGTACATATCTGCCAAAATAAGATTACCATTCAGTAAAAGTGCAAGCATACCTCTGTGCTTTGGGTTGATAAATAAGCAACCTAATAAGACGAGCTTTCTCCAAATAAGGCGTGTTCACAAGATCTTCGGTATCGGTTTTGGAATAGTGTCGTCAATCGTCATGACTGGCAATTCAGGTAGATACAGCTCGAGACCATCTAAAAATTAAAATTGTATTAAAAAAGATCAGTTTATTTTGAATGGTAAGTGGTATCACAGACGAGACTAGTAGGGAAGCGACTGTGTTTGGGAATTTTGATCAAAGGAATGTTTTATTGAAATTTGAAAGGAATCAAAAATTTTATTAATTGAAATAAGGAATGGTATATGTTTCACTAGGAAGGGTAAAACCATTGCATTGAAAAGAGTCATGTAGGATGACGTAGAAGAAAAAGAATTAAAAAAAAGACAAGTTAATTGGAAAGTTTAAAGAAAATTGGGATGAGTTATTTCGAAGGGGTTTCTGAAAGTAAAAATTAGAAAAAGACAACAATTTACAGAGTGAAAGGATTCCGTTTATCACGAGTTCCTACAAATTGACTGTGCTTGGGTCATCATTTGAAAATTGGTTGAGCACACACTCCATTCGACTTTATGAAAATTTTCTACTAAAAGTATAACTCTCAGTTGAATAAATTAAATTTTGTTTCAAAATATTGTGGCTTTTTATTTCCTGGGTCTGAACCACCTCGTAACAAAATCCATAGAAGATAATGAGTTTCAATTTGACACTTTAAATGATGTGGATTAGATGTAGCCATCGGTAGGTATGGAGTAGGTAAACCTGTGATTTTCCACCCTGCGATGTGTTCAATTGGTTTAACAAATTTCAATCCTACCTATCATGAAATAATTGAAATGAATGGGTAGAGTAAAACTTCAGGAAAATGGGTAAAGAAAACCAGGAAAGCTACGTGTGAAATGAAACAAGATCAAAGAGCCCTAAGTCGTAGTTTTCCCTAATTTTTAGATTTCGGTTATTTAAACTATTCAAAAAGAGCACCACACAATAGTGGCGACATCTCACAGAAAGTTGTTCAACTATCGTATGAAAATTTTATGGGAAAGTATAGGGATTACCAACAGATGGCGCATATGTACCAATTGCATACACAAAAGACAATTCCAGATACTGGATCATTGAAGTACAATTGCTCTACAAATCCTACATGAAATTGCACATTTTCAACTGCCCTTTAAGGAAAATTGAGTCGTACGTGCCTATTAAGTGCATAAATTAAACGGTTCTTTTGAATGTATTTACGTACGTGGCTACATCTCATTGGAACTCGTTCAACTATTACAAGAAATTAATTTGGAAAAGTATAGGGATTACAAAAGAGATGGCGCAAATGTACCAATTGCATACACAAAAGACAATTCCAGATACTGGATCATCGAAGTATAATTGCTCTACAAATCCTACATGAAACTGCACATTTTCAACTGAACTTTAAGGAAAATTGAGTCGTACGTGCCTATTAAGTGCATAAATTAAACGGTTCTTTTGAATGTATTTACGTACGTGGCTACATCTCATTGGAACTCGTTCAACTATTACAAGAAATTAATTTGGAAAAGTATAGGGATTACCAAAGAGATGGCGCAAATGTACCAATTGCATACACAAAAGACAATAATTCCAGATTCTGGATCATCGAAGTATAATTGCTCTACAAATCCTACATGAAAACATTTTCAACTGCCCTTTAAGGAAAATTGAGTCTATTATTTAGTGCATAAATTAAACGGTTCTTTTGAATGTATTTACGTACGTGGCTACATCTCATTGGAACTCGTTCAACTATTACAAGAATTTAATTTGGAAAAGTATAGGGATTACAAAAGAGATGGCGCATATGTACCAATTGCATACACAAAAGACAATTCCAGATACTGGATCATCGAAGTATAATTGCTCTACAAATCCTACATGAAACTGCACATTTTCAACTGAACTTTAAGGAAAATTGAGTCGTACGTGCCTATTAAGTGCATAAATTAAACGGTTCTTTTGAATGTATTTACGTACGTGGCTACATCTCATTGGAACTCGTTCAACTATTAAAGAAATTAATTTGGAAAAGTATAGGGATTGCCAAAGAGATGGCGCAAAAGTACCAATTGCATACACAAAAGACAATAATTCCAGATTCTGGATCATCGAAGTATAATTGCTCTACAAATCCTACATGAAATTGCACATTTTCAACTGCCCTTTAAGGAAAATTGAGTCGTACGTGCCTATTAAGTGCATAAATTAAACGGTTCTTTTGAATGTATTTACGTACGTGGCTACATCTCATTGGAACTCGTTCAACTATTACAAGAATTTAATTTGGAAAAGTATAGGGATTGCCAAAGAGATGGCGCAAAAGTACCAATTGCATACACAAAAGACAATAATTCCAGATTCTGGATCATCGAAGTATAATTGCTCTACAAATCCTACATGAAACTGCACATTTTCAACTGAACTTTAAGGAAAATTGAGTCGTACGTGCCTATTAAGTGCATAAATTAAACGGTTCTTTTGAATGTATTTACGTACGTGGCTACATCTCATTGGAACTCGTTCAACTATTACAAGAATTTAATTTGGAAAAGTATAGGGATTGCCAAAGAGATGGCGCAAAAGTACCAATTGCATACACAAAAGACAATAATTCCAGATTCTGGATCATCGAAGTATAATTGCTCTACAAATCCTACATGAAATTGCACATTTTCAACTGCCCTTTAAGGAAAATTGAGTCGTACGTGCCTATTAAGTGCATAAATTAAACGGTTCTTTTGAATGTATTTACGTACGTGGCTACATCTCATTGGAACTCGTTCAACTATTACAAGAATTAATTTGGAAAAGTATAGCGATTGCCAAAGAGATGGCGCAAAAGTACCAATTGCATACACAAAAGACAATAATTCCAGATTCTGGATCATCGAAGTATAATTGCTCTACAAATCCTACATGAAACTGCACATTTTCAACTGAACTTTAAGGAAAATTGAGTCGTACGTGGCTATTAAGTGCATAAATTAAAATGTTCTTTTGAATGTATTTACGTACGTGGCTACATCTCATTGGAACTCGTTCAACTATTACAAGAAATTAATTTGGAAAAGTATAGGGATTACCAAAGAGATGGCGCAAATGTACCAATTGCATACACAAAAGACAATTCCAGATACTGGATCATTGAAGTACAATTGCTCTACAAATCCTGCATGAAATTGCACATTTTCAACTGCTCTTTAAGGAAAATTGAGTCGGACGTGGCTATTAAGGGCATAAATTAAAATGTACTTATGAAGGTAGTTACGTACGTGGCGACATCTCATTGGAACTGTTTCAACTCTTACAAGAAATTATTTTGGAGAAGTATAGCGATTACCAAAGAGATGGCGCAAACGTACCAATTGCATACACAAAAGACAATTCCAGATACTGGATCATTGAAGTACAATTGCTCCACAGATCCTACATGTAATTGCACATTTTCAACTGCCCTTTAAGGAAAATTGAGTCGGACGTGGCTATTAAGTGCATAAATTAAAATGTTCTTTTGAAGGTCGTACGTGGCTATTAAGTGCATAAATTAAAATGTTCTTTTGAATGTAGTTACGTACGTGGCGACATCTCATTGGAACTCGTTCAACTATCACAAGAAAATAATTTGGGGAAGTATATGAATTGCACAGTTGTAAAAATTTTAAAAACAAAAGATTATTCAATAACTGGACCATTGATTTACCTACAATTGCTTTGCAGATCGTACAAGAAATCGGGTTGAATTTTTCTAGTTAAGTTCTTTCGGTGGGGATTATAGATAGGCAGCGACGTCGAAAGTGTGGCTCAGAGAGGGCGAGTCGCCCCCTTACTTTTTACACAAGGGGCCCGCGCCCCCCTAAAGAATGAGTAGATAAATCACTCAAAAGCGACTAACACCTCTTCTACTGCATGTGCATGCAGAAATTACAAAAAGTGTAGGATATATTAAAAGAATTTGCCAGCAAAACTGCGGAAGGGCGGGAAATTTTTGGATATATTTAATTTTTAATACTTGCTTTTCTTTAGAATGCTTAGTAGTGCATTAAATAGGAACAAAATTTTTGTAACTTTTGCATGTTCTAGTTCATTATTTTTTAAATAAAATATTAATGATCTACGGCTATGGTTTTCTCAATCGAGTCAAGTATCTCTGAGTTGCTCAGTCACCTAAAGACTAAAGAAAAATCTACATAGTAGAACTACGCCGGATAATTCTATTACGAGTAGCTAAAACTGGTTTTGAATGGTTGAGCACTCCTGATTTACCCCCGTCAGATTAATATTTTTCCTAAATCTCAAAAAACCTTATTAAAAGGTTTTCGGCATTGAATTCGTGTGTCCCTTTTTCAGACCAAAAGATCAAGAATTACTTTATAAACGTTCTAGTAAATGTTTTACTTCCTGGGCCATATACCACCTAGTAAAAGATCCCCAGGAGTTAGCAATTATAAAAAAGTCATTTAGCAATTATGAGAACTCACCAGAAAATCTCTGTTTATTCATATTGTAGAAGCTTCTTCGGAAGAGAACAATGCCGAATTCGATGGTGACTAGTGCTCACTTCTGTAATGTTAATGTAATGTAGAAATCTTGTAACCAACGTCTAGTTCTCCTACCTTTCACGTTTGGTTGCTGAATGGTCGCTCTAAATGGTAAACCGTATAGCTCCTCTGCCTCAACCCAAGAAATACTTGGTCTTAGCATCATCAGTTTGAAATAGCCTCGTCGTTTTTGGATGGATGGCGATGTCTTCACACTACTAAAAAATCTTTCTTAAAGCTAAATGATTTAATAGTTTGTACTGCAAAAGCAGTTCATTTTGTTTTATATTGACTATGTATACAGTGGCCCAACGAGAAGTATACAGAGGGCTTTTAGGGTATTAAATTTATAAATTTCGAAAAATCCTGGAACACGTCAATTTTGTATTCGAGGGGGACAACTTTTGGAATACAAATCACGAACCCAAGTCTTCACCCCTCTACGTAGGGAGCTTAACCCCTAAAATTTTAAATGGAATCCTATGGCAAATGGCACATTATTTGAAAGCTAATTTAATCGTGATTACTAATCTGCTTTGCTTTTTAAATTCTATTGATTCGTTTCGGAGATATTCGCATTTGAAATGGTCAATAAATTTTACAAAGGGGTTAATGTTTATTTATTTGGAAGGAAAGGGTGAAAACTCGATGTACCAACCAACCTTTCTAAAAGTTAAACAAAACTCACCCCTTTCACGCCGAATATAAACGCGTGTTGTACGAACGGAGCACAATACAACCGCACTTACTGGTTATTCATTCGCAAATGAATCACGTACATTACATTCATAATCTTATAACTGCAATGATGATAAATAGAAGCAGATGCCGGTTATTTGACCACGTCACTGGTATTTGCGTTAAAAATGACGTACCATACGACTCCATGCGCGCAAAAATTGTTACCGTATCACGTGATCCCATGCGATATTAAATTCAAAAATGTCTTTTCATCTGGAATTATTTTTTTTCGAATTCTTTATAGAGATAGGTCAAGTGTACAGAGTGTCAGCATTAGAGGGTTGACTTTTCCAATAAATTATTACAATAAAAATACTTTTAATCGTCTTTTCCAAATCTTTACTGCTTTGGCTTACTTTGGAGATTTTACCTTCATAGTCCGAAAATTGTGTACAAATCTCCATTCCACTTTCTAGCAAAATAACAACACCAAATGGGTGTCAACGAATCAACAACCCATAATTTCTAGAATAATAGGTGTATCGAAATGATATTTGGTACAGGTAAATCGTACGTGAAGAGGAAAGATTTCGCTTATTTTTCTCTTTCCGCTCCTTTCAAACGGGAAATGGTCTAGGCATTGAATTTTTAAACAGAACACCCTGTATATTTTTACATCTTTGGATTTCTGAAACAATTCTGAATCAGACTGTGACCTTTTCAAAAGTGTTTAACGCCTACTTGATTTTTTAGAGCCGCATTTAATAGTGCATTTAGGTGGCCCTGATCGGACCCAAACTAATCTAAAGACCTTAGGTGATTTCAAAAATTTACAATCGCAAAGTTTTAGTGGATATGAGAGATATGATAATATCCCTAACAATGAACTTTTATTTAATTGATTTTACTGGTTTACAGACAGTTTTCTTTGTTGTAATTCCTTACGCGAAAATTGGTTAATTACACGTTCTCCCCAACTTGATTATGCTCCACTAACACGATGGAAAGTTTTCTAAGGAATATGTCCGCTAACACGCTTGTGTATAATTGCGAACGGAGTCTTTTATTTAATGAATACACCACGATTAAAAATTTTCCAACTCGTATAATTAGACACACAATTATTCTTTGGCGTAATATGGAAGGTAAACCAAGTATTAATTCAGCGCTCACTAACAATTTTTTCATTTCGAAATTTATACGCCCGATCAAACAGAATAATAGAGGGACAAATTTTTCGCTATTTTAAACGACTCCCAAAAACGCTCGCGTTGACTAAATGCGAATGTTTCAAATCTTTTCTCTAGCTCCACTACCAAAACGCGAATTAATTAATTTAGCGCCAAATAATCCCCTCTCTGAATTACTCGATAAATTTTTTAACCGCCACAATGGTGAAATGGTTATAGCGGCGGTCTTTAATTAAGTACCTTTGGCTAGTTACTTCTCTTTCCACCACTACCAAGAGGCTTTTAGGGCTGTTACTGCCTTTCAAATTTTGCAACATTCTCACAGAGCTTTATTCAATTAGCTGAATCGTAAAAGTAACAAAAGACGATTAATTTACAGCCTGTAATTCAAAACCATAGCGAGAATGAATGATTTATAACAAAATTTAACTGATTGTGAGAAGATGGCGAATATTCGCCTTATTACAGTCTACAAAATAAAAATGAGCAATATTTGTTTGGGAGAATGTTTAAAAACCTTGACTCTTTTCCAACTTACTTCCGTGAGGAAAAATGGGAAAAAATTCAAATAAAAATACTCTCGTTACATCATCTTAATAGCTTTAGGCTACAGGACATAATCTTATCGTAGTAAGCGTTTTGTTACAAAGATAGTCGACCTACGCAGCTTTAGTAGCACCAGTACTCATTATAGACATACAATTCAGCACAATTCTCGTGTGGTTTTTTCTAAGGACAGTCTAGTTTATCTCGCACAGCGATCCTGATTTGCTCTAAACAAAAAATGGTTCATTTGAATTACTGAACGCCAAGAGAGTTAATTAGTTACAAAGGTAGGGACCATTCCGAAATTTTTTGGAGAGGCGTTTCTTTCTTGGGCTACGAGTGGTTTTGTTTTGAGCACAAAACGGGAGATTAATTCCGAACTGGGTAGTAAGATATGTTAACTTCCCAAAAATGAAAGCTGTATTTCAGAAACAAAAGTAACTAGATTGATCCTGTTTGTGGTAAGATAAGTTTTACAAAAACGGGATACAAATTCGCCAAAACCGCAAGTCTCGATCTATAAAACCAGCTGAGATACACATACTTATAAATTTCCAACGGGCCATTATGATCTACAGGCCAGGTGACAATCGCCCCCCCCCCCCCCCGGGCCAGTCCGCCCCTGGTTATGCACTGCCTTTTTTTGAGCCCCGAAAAAAAAATTGTCTCAGATCGACCCGGGAAAAAATTTTTCTTATAGAATATGGCCTGTAGAATCCATAATTTCAAACAGTTCCAAGATTGGGCTACTATTTCAAAAGTTACAGCCCTTTGAATTTTTTTTCGAAATGGGTTTCTAGTCTATAACTTTTGATTGAGAAGTCTGATCGAAAAAGTACGAATTGATTTGGATTCTAAGCACCCAAATTAATAAGAAAATGTGTTTTCCCGAGAAATTTTGGTGTAGTCGATTTTTGGTAAAAAAGGAAGGTTATACACTGCCTTTTTTTGAGCCCCGAAAAAAAAATTGTCCCAGATCGACCCGGAAAAAAAATTCTCTTATAGAATGTGGTCTGTAGAATCCATAATTTTAAACAGTTCCAAGATTGGGCTACTAGTTCAAAAGTTACAGCCTTTTGAATTTTTTTTCGAAATTGGTTTCTAGTCTATAACTTTTGATTGAGAAGTCTGATCGAAAAAGATATACTAATTGATTTGGATTCTACGCACCCAAATTAATAAGAAAAAGTGTTTTCCCGAGAAATTTTGGTGTAGTCGATTTTTGGTAAAAAAGGAAGGTTATACGCCTTCTTACGCATGAAACCACGGCCATCTTTAATCGTCGATTTGTTTCTTCCGTTTATATACCACCTAGGTTAATAAAACGATCCCAAGCACAATCAACTGATGTCCATACTTATTTTGAAATTTGAATCATGTAACTCTAAATTAAGAAGACCCGGGACCCCGATTTCGAGAGCTAATTATGAGGTTGCTGACGTATAAGAAAACGACCGCTAATTCCACCATACCGACTTTTGCAATTCCACCAAAAATGTAATATTGGTAAATTCAACCCCTTAATTTTTTCACCCTGTAGACTTTCTACAATATGTTCGAACCTTAAAACAAGCTACTTGCTCCAAAACTAGGAATTACGTGTTCGATTTTTTATTTATTTGGAAGGAACAGGCGAAAACTTCCCCGTAGCGCCACCCAACCTTTAAGAAAAGTAAAGAAAACTCACCCTTTCACGTGGAATATAAACGCGTAATAACGGAGCACATACAACCGCACTTACTGGTTATTCATTCGCAAATGAATCACGTACATTCATAATCTTATAACTGCAATGATGATAAATAAAAGCAGATACAGGTTACTTGACCAACGTGTCCTTGTAGCTTTTATTGTGCAGGAATTAATTTGTTTGAAATTATTATAGAGATAGCTGAAGGGAATTTTTTACACTTCAAAATCTACAGGGGTTGACTAATCCAATAAATTGTATTGCAGGGGAAATTTGATGGACTAAAACCTAGTTCTCATGGCGTATGGATTTAACTTTTCCGACGATTGTTCGACATTTTTAAAATTTTCAACCAATAGGAACACTATCGAATCGTCTAACGTCGAACATCGGATGTCATGCGAACTAGGCTTTATTTCTGCGTCATTTGATTTCTGTAGCGCGTAGTCCTCTTAATAGCTTTACGTTCCAGTGGGAGATATAGGAGGTGATTTTATCTTAGTAGGGTTTTTGTTGCAAAGATAGCGGATCTAAAAACTCCCCAGCTCTGAGATTCGCCGGTTGTCATTATAGACATCTAGCACAATTCCCGTGTGCCGATTTTTTTAAAAAACAGCCTAGTTTTCCTTGCACAACGATCCTGATTTGCTCTTTAAGAAAAAATGGTTCATTTTAAATACTGGATGCCATGTCGAAAAGAGCGTTAATTAGTTACAAAGGATTTCGAGGGTTTTTGGAGGGGCATTCAAATGACTTCTATAGGATCAAGCGATAAAAAACTTTTCCTCCTACATTTAAGACTTTTCAAGAAAGCGGTTTTTGCCTAAAATTTTAAATAAAGATGTGCAATATTAAGCAGACTTGCATTTTTGGATTCTACAGGCCGGAAAAATAGGTTTTCTAGTAGACTTGTGTAAATATGATCGACAAAACCGATTCAAAAAACGCTCTGTTAGAAAAATCGACAAAAGATTTGTATTACCGGTAAATGTTTCCAACTAACGTCTGGGCCGTTTCGAAATCCAAGGATGTTAAGGTTAGCAGCTCAAAATTTGGGTAAATTAATGCGTTTTTTAACAATTTGGTTAAAAAGATTCAAATTATTTATTAACTCAAAACGATTTAATAAGGCATAGAATACCTAATTATTAAATTGATCTAGCGTCAGTCACATCATACAAGAAAATCAAGAACTTGTTACAATTAATTGACTGTACGAGTAAATTGCCATTACGAATTGACCTCAAGATATTGGTTAATTAAATTCTGACCCGCGTAGGTAAAACTTAACATCAATGAGATCTGTTACTTCAGTACCAACCATGAAGTTTTCACTTTGTCTAACTTTTTGTGTGGCGTTTTTGACGCTAGTTCGGACGGAAAGGCAATGCAAAAATGTCGAAGTTTGGAATACCGTGACCGATTACGAGGCGAAATTAAGAGGGTGCACGGTTATTCACGGTTATTTAAAAATGCAGTTAATTGAAAACGCGACCGCCGCCGATTACGAGCGCATCTCGTTTCCGGAGCTGCTGGAGATCAAGGGTTACCTCTTATGCTATCGCGTGTACGCGCTGGTCAGTCTGGGACAATTGTTTCCGAACTTGACGGTAATTAGAGGTAGCACGCTTTTCATGGACTACTCTCTCGTAATTTACGACATGATCAATCTGAAGGAAGTAGGTCTTTTGTTGTAAGTCAGAGGGCGCTCCTCCAAGTCGATACTGTTGCAGATTGGCTTACACAGTTTAGAGCACATCGAACGGGGCTCGACGAGAATAGATAAGTGTCCGCAGCTGTGCTACGTCAATACGGTCGACTGGTCTTCAATTGGTGGCCCGAACCATAGCTTGCACTACTTCAACACTAACGAGGAAAGATGCGACTCATGCCCTGAACGTTGTAATGGTGAGCGGATGTCTTGAATTGCTCAGTTAATCATAGACGACACTTTTAGGTTTATGCTGGAGTCAAGACCATTGCCAAGTGACTAGCAAAGCCAACTGTCATCCAGAATGTATCGGTTGTAAAGGACCCACGGACAAAGATTGCATTCTTTGTAAATCACTAATAGATGGCGATAAGTGCGTTCCAAAGTGCAAAAAACCCAAGTGAGTATCTAACCAGTTCGTCTTTCAAAAATTTACCTCCATCAACTTAGCGAGACAACATAAAAAAATAGGTAGTGACTATACCAGCGTTTTGCCGCTCTCGACATAATTTTAATATTCCTAAAGGAATCGACCACCGGCGAACGTTATTTGCCTTGAACAAACTTTGTATTTAATTGTATTTATTGATATGACTATGATCCATACAAAGAATTTTGGTTATTTTGTTTCATTTATGGGAAAATTTCATCTAATTTCAGTGATACCATTCCTTTGGTTGGATTAAAATTTTGTTTAGCATTCAGGGGTGTTGGTATGTTTTGAAAAGGTTATGTTAGGTTATGTTAGCCGTAGTCCGAGCGATTGAACGTGTTTTAACTGAACTGCGACTGTTTGTTTTTGTGAGCGTTTGTCTTAAAAATTTTTTCGAGAGTGTAAGAGGGTGCGCTCTAGTGAGATGAGAGAGAAGAGAGCTGTAACCAAGTTTTTGGACAAATTAACGTACGAAACGTAGAAATCGGAAGGCGACCAGTTTCAAGGTGGGAGTTAGGTTAATTAAAAAACCCTTGCTAAGAGTAGACACACCACAACTTCACAATTGATGGTAGATAAAATTCAAGAGATGAATAAATAAATAAATAAACCAAAAATACTTACGGGACATCCTGTATATGATAATTATTTCAATTTATGAAGTAAATTTGGGGATTATTTACAAAATAAATACAGAGTTGGCTTGTTTCATTTGAATTTGTATTTGTATTGAGTGTTTGTTTTTCCTTTAAGATTTGTTTGTAAATGCGTGATTCTTGTTTATATATTATCGGTTTGTAATTATTCAATTTAGATAAGGTGTTAGAATTAAGAGACATCTGGTCAAATTTGCGTGTTTTATAAAAATAAAACACGCAAATTTGACCAGATGTAACCTTTTATTAGAACCTTTATTAAATTGGAACAGTAAGTGGCGCTTAATTTGTCGCTTTTTTTGCTGTTAATTAGTTTTGAACATAAGCATTTTGCTATTATATTAAGTTCTGGTGTAATTTGGAAACAAAAATTGACATGACACCGATAAACGGTAAATGTAAATGAGATAATGAGGATCATAAATGTATGTACGAGGATTTAGAAGTGTACTCGTATAAAAACCCACGGTCTTCATTTTGAAAATCGATTGTTTATACTTACTATGTCGACATTATCATTATTTTCTTTTTAAACTGTATCACTTTACGTAATGAAAAAAAGTACTTATGATTTTTTCCTAATCACATATTTTATTTTATTTTTTATTTTATTTTATTTGCCTTTATTTTTACGTGGGTGGGGTTTCAGCGAACGCTCTTCTACCTACCCAACCCAATATATAGGTACTAACAAATATCTATGCCCGAATCCGGATTCGAACGAAGGACCAGCTCATTGCTAACCAAATTTTTTATGCAAAATTAGCCTATAAAATATTTCGCACCCAACTTAGAAACACCCTGTATACACTACACAAAAAATGTGTTTATATATATTTTTTAAATAAGATACATACGTACTTAAATACAATACCAGTAAGGGAATGTTTAAAAAACAGGTAAAAATTAAGTTATCGTTTCGTAAAATAAAGAATTAGTTCAGGGTACAATTTTTCAGATGATATAAGTAAATCCGCCTTTGACTGGAGGTCTTCGTAAATGACCAAGCGTGTTGACATCTTCACCAAGGCAGTGTAATGACCAATTGAAGTAGATCTTCTCGCCATCGCTGTTGAGCCAATATAATTGACTAATCCAAAAAATTTCAAAAGCTCTTGCTTCTAGCACCTTATCTAAATTTAATAATTACAAAGCGATAATATTTAAACAAGAATTACGCATTTACAACCAAATCTTAAAGGAAAAACAAACACTGAATACAAATTCAAATGAAACAAACCAACTCTGTTCATATTTCATAAACAATTCCCAGATTTATTTCATAAATTGAAATAATTATCATATACACGATGTCCGTCAGTATTTTTGGTGACTTGTTGAAAAAGAAATGGAAAAAGACGGCCTAATGGCCTTAGTGGGCTTAAGTGTCTTTTCTTTGCCGACATTTGCAATAATCTCCTGAATTTCGTGTGTTTCTTTAACTTGTGCTTGGATCTACCATTGCATTAACTTCACCACAGGCCAACTTCGCCGAACATTTTGGATTTACCCCCGTCCCTACTCACACTGGCCGTTTTAAGTTCATCCCCACGCTCAATCGCTCGGACTACGGCTAACATAACCTAACATATCCTGTTTAAAACATACAAAGACCCCTGAATGCTAAACAAAATTTTAATCCAACCAAAGGAATGCTATCATTAAAATTAGACGCAATTTTCCCATAAATGAAACAAAATAACTAAAATTCTTTGTAATGTTATTAATATCAATAAATACAATACAAAGTTTGTTCAAGGCAAATAACTTTCACGGGTACCTAGTCGATTCCTTTAGGAATATTAAAAATATATCAAACAATATTCCTTATGCACATTCGTACAAATAACCGACCACTATACTTTATTCAAATCAAAAAATTTAAAACTGAATTCTCTTACTGGAAAACATAGCTTCCTTTAGAAATATGGAAACAGATCGTTTCCAAGCAAACCGTCTTTAATGTCACGAAAGCAATACTCAAGATCGCGATTATGCATAGGACTAATAAGCCAATGTTCCGCTGTGTTGATATTAATTAATTAATTAAAAATCTCCTTATTTTTTCAGGATCATATACCCAGAATATGGGAAATGCATTACCAAAAGCGAATGCCAGAAATTACCCCACGGTCCATGGTGGTCGTTCAAAGAGGAATGCGTCAAATCGTGTCCAACTGGTTATAACAAGCTTACCAATCGCGAGGGGTGCGAATTATGTCTAAACTGTTCAAAGTACTGCGATGGAATCGAAATTAACAGTATCGCTTCGGCCGAAACGCTTACAGGGTGCACGCACGTTAACGGCCCCCTCTCCATACGCGTCAACTCCATGAACATGGCGAACGAGTTGGAGAAAAGTTTAGGATCGATCAAAGAGATCACTCACTACTTGAAAATTTACAGATCCTACGCGTTGACCTCCTTTGAGAGTTTGAGAAATTTGAAAGTTATCCACGGCCAACAGTTGTATAACAACCGGCACGCTGTAGTTGTGTACGAAAATCAGGATCTGCACAAGCTGTGGCCAACGACGAGCTCGCCCATTAAGATAAAAAATGGCACGCTGTTGTTTCACTACAATTCCCATTTGTGCCCGGCGGAAATTGAGAAGTTCGCAAGGGGCAGCAACTTGAAATACTCGACCTTTGACGTTTCGCCCTACTCCAACGGTGACAAGAGGGCATGTAATAATATCACCCTAAACGTGACAGTAAGCGAGTTAACATCGTCAAGTGTGGTACTGGAATGGGACGAATACGCAACGAATGGGAACACTTCGTTGATTATCGGCTATTTAGTGTACTACATCGAGGACAATACGCAGAATATAACAATTTTTGATGAGCAAGAAGAGTGCGACAGAAACAACTGGTACAGCAAGTTCGTCTCTAACGCCTCGGTGAGCATTGATAACTTAAACGCGTTCTCCCACTACGCCTACTACATCAAAACTTACGCGACCATTCCAACTTCAAGTGGTCAAACAAGCATAATGTACTTCAAAACACTAACCGCGGATCCATCGAAGCCCTACAACTTGAAGGCATCATCCACAAGCAGCGATAGCATAACACTAACATGGAACCCACCTCAATTTCCCAACGGGATACTAAGCCACTACTTGGTGATTGCGTATTTGGAAAGCGACGACCCGAGGTTCATCTCGCGCAGAAACTACTGCGACTATCCGCACAAAGCTCCGAGACCAAAGCTCGTAACGCCGACGCCCACTATCGAAACGGCCGTAGAACCGTGCTGTAAAAAGAAGAACAAATCATCCGAAGATACTGTCACCTCCATTTGTTCAGTACTAAACCACCACGGCTGCAAGAATTACATGACTTACTCCATTGACAACCAACTCACTAGAATGTCATCCGATGAGAACCTCAACATTATGCTGATAACCAAACACAACATACTCAAACGAGAGGACCAACCTCAAAGCATAATTGAGGAAACTATCGAAGATCCAAAGGCGACATCGTACACCATCACTCAACTGAAATTCTTTAGCATTTACTTTATCTTACTGAAGGCGTGTAACAATAAGACCTTGTGCAGCGGAGGGGAGATGACTTCGGAAAGGACCCTCAAGAAAGATGACGCCGACGACATACCTTCCGGGGTCTTGGTGCAAGTTAGCGGCAGAAACGTGGTCGTCGAGTGGCTCGAGCCTAAAGATCCGAACTCTGTAATAGTCGCCTACTACGTCGAGCACAGACGGCTGGACTTGGAGAACGCCGCCCCCATCACCGAGTGCATCACCGAGGAGGAGTACGCTTCATTTCACTACCAGTACCAAATCAAGGATTTATTTCCGGGAAAGTACGCGGTGAGAGTTAGGGCGGTGTCTTTGGCGGGCGAGGGGCGATTTTGTCAGGCGCAGGAGTTCTACGTGTCCTTCGGCTCGGGCGTCGCGCTGACAGCTTCCTTGTTAACCGTGGCATTCATCGTGATTATCCTTGGGGTTTTGGGCTTTTGCTATTATTACTATAGGAAAAATAACAGCGTGGATCGCTTACGTCTGCTGAGAAACGCGCACTCTGCGTACGCCGGTTCCAATTTTATTCTCGACGAATGGGAGCTAAAACGGGAGGACGTGGAGATTCAAAACGAACTTGGCCAGGGCACCTTCGGAATGGTTTACAATGGCATCATAAGGTCGAAGGAGCTGCCTTGCGCCGTCAAAACAGTGAATAGCGACGCGGATGAGCAGGACCGAACGTACTTCTTACACGAGGCGTCCGTTATGAAAAGCTTCAGCAAAGCGTATCACGTGGTCAAGCTCTTGGGAGTGGTGTCACGTGGATCGCCCCCCTTAGTCGTGATGGAGCTGATGGAGCGCGGCGATCTGAAAACCTTTCTGCGTCTCTCCAGGAACGGAAGTAGCAATATTACGTGCGCAGAAATGTATCGAATGGCCGCTGAAATAGCGGATGGAATGATGTACCTGTCCGCCAATAAGTTTGTGCATCGAGACCTAGCAGCTCGCAATTGCATGGTGGCGGCGGACCACACAGTGAAGATCGGCGACTTCGGAATGGCCCGCGACGTGTACTACACCGACTACTATAAGAAGCACACCGGCGGCTTGATGCCCATCAGGTGGATGTCACCGGAAAGCTTGGCGGACGGCGTCTTTACCTCGGAATCGGACGTTTGGAGCTACGGCGTGGTCCTATGGGAAATTGCGACGCTCGCCGAGCAGCCGTACCAAGGACTGGCGAACGAGCAGGTTTTTCAGTTCATAACCTCACAGGGAACCTTGCAGCGCCCCGTCGAATGTCCGGATTTACTCTACGATATCATGGAGGTTTGCTGGAAGTGGAAACCGAAGGACAGGCCCCTTTTTCATGACATAATACGCAAGCTCGAGTCGCACATTGGACAACACTTCAGATTGGTGTCTTTCTTTCACAGCTTCGAGGGCGACCAGTACATGATGAATTTGCAGGAGAGAACGTACAGTCATCCCGCGTTGATAAATCATTTGAATAAGAGTGATGGTGTCTATTGGGATAGTTGTTATGATGATGTGGATTTAAATACAAGATAAACTAGCACATTTTGTAGTTATTCTGATTTTCCCTTCAAGATTAGCAAGAGATCTTTTTTGACTTGTGCTACTAAATGAGCCCTTCTTCTAAGGCACCTCAGAATTGGATAGATAATAGTAGTATGTCCCTCGGACGACTGATTATAATTCCCTCCCTAAAAGAAGGGTTAATTTTCGTATGGGACGGTGGTTCTGCGGAGCTGTTAAGGAAAGTAGAAAACACTTTAATTATGGAAGTTTTCCATCTTGTTTACCTTCCAGTGTAACTGTCTTTCAAATATTATTAGACTGTGCAGCAACACTCACCGATTTTGGTTCTTCCAAATTAAATCGACTAATGATCTCCATAATGTAGTGCGTACCTACAGCGCTGATATCCTTTTGGGTTCTTTTAAGAAGCTAAACTCAAGAAAAATACAGTGCGTAGAAGTCCATATCGCAAACCTTTCACAACCATATTATTTGGGTTCTGAAAAAAAAACTTAGTAATTTGAGATTTGTTTTTTATTTTTAATCGACCGTGTGTGTGAGGGGTATTATGTCCGAACAAGCTTTGTAAGCTTCTCTTAGGGATTTTGTTTTAATTGTTTCATGTGTTTCGGAATTAATTTTTGTCATTGTCAATCAATTAATTGTGTGTGGTTATTCGAACCCTTTGTGCGACCCAGACACAGAGCTGGGCAGAATACTTTCAAAAAGTATTTGAATACTAAATAGTAAATACTTTACACAAATCAAAGGTATTTGAATACTAAATACTTTTACGTCCAACACAAGGGAATACTAGATACAGATACATTGAAAAGTATTCAAATACTTAAAAAAATAAGTATTCAAATACTTTAGAATGTATTCGAATACTTTCAAAAGTATTCCATAATTTCAAACAGTTCCAAGATTGGGCTACTAGATCAAAAGTTACACCGCTTTGAATTTTCTTTCGAAATGGTTTCTAGTCTATAACTTTTGATTGAGAAGTCTGATCGAAAAGTACGAATTGATTTGGATTCTACGCACCCAAATTAATAAGAAAAAGTGTTTTCCCGAGAAATTTTGGTGTAGTCGATTTTTGGTAAAAAAGGAAGGTTCTACGCACCCAAATTAAGATCGCGAGTTTTCTTCTGATAGCGGACATCTGAATTGAGCACATAGCAGTTTCCTTAACATCGAGAAAGGATTGCCACAGTGGCCCATATTCTGGGCGTGAATTTTCCGGAAGCGAATTTACCCTAAAGTTTCCGATGAGCGATGCGGCAAACTTTTTTCAGGTCTCAATCTTCCGGTATATATTATCGTAAATTCAAATAACCCGAATACATTTCAATGAGACATTTTATCAAATGTTTTTCCGAAAAGATCTGCCGTAATTTCATAACAATCCTAAAAAAAGGAGCACAACCCCCTAATTCTATAAATAGAAAAGGAAATCAGTAATAGTGGCATTATTTCTTGTTTTTTTTTTCTCATACAAAATAGATCTCCTAAGGAATAACTAACTAATTACACCCTCATGTATTCGCGACTAAATTTTTTGGATTTATAGATATATCTACAACTCTTTTTAACATTATTTCACTTTACCACCCCTGTCCCATTAAACAAAAATTCACTTGTCTCCCAAAAAGAAAAATGAACTAAAACAGAATGTTCTTTGGCAGAGACTTGCTATAACTAGACTGCGCTTAACGTATCCAAGGTGTTGTCGGCACAGTATGCAACACACAATGCAAGTCTCTGGTTCTTTGGTTACAATCTAAAATTATAAGACTAGACAACTATGATTAAATTTTGGTTAATGGATAAATATTCGTGTTTTACATGTTGGTAGAAGGTAGAAGCAAACACGTAATGGAAACTGAATAATTTTGATTGTTGAGGTAATTATTTCCGAGCACAAGAAAACTCGAAATGCATACGTTGACTGAATTCGAAACGTGATTATAACAACTTTCCCTAATCCTTCGATTAGCTATTCCAATGTTCCTTTCCAACTCGCTTAGGTATCCAAATATTTATGTTTCCAAACTGTCTTCTAAGCAATTAGAAAGCATTATCCTCTATCTTGATTTCAATCAATTATTGCCACAACTTGCTTTCAATTTGGTTCACGTAGTGATAGAAACTTTTTAATCCCGCGGTTTACTCAATCAACTAATTCGAACCGTTGTTGTACCCAATTTTCTTGGTATTCATTACAAGTTAGTAAGTAATTATGAGGCTTGAATTGCTCGAAGCCAATATAAACTCTCATTATGGATATTGGTTCGTTACTGATTGGAAACTCGGCTAGTTCGAGATAGTTTCAAGATGAAAACTTCCTATAAGGACAAACACCGATAAATTTTACTAACATTTTATAGTTACTTGATTGTAGAAAATAATTTCTCTTTTGGCATTGGAGACTGACACTGTTGTGTGTTGATATTTACATATACAGCCTCCTGATGTTGGTCCAATAAAATACAGAAAGGTCTGCTATACAAATAGTGTATAAATAATCAGTGCCATCATCAGTTTTAAAAATTACAGGTGCGATTTAACTTATGAAAGATGCCTCAATTGTCATTAAACATTATAATTCAGTCTTCATTATCTTGCGTTTTAATTTTGTTTTTTGAATATTCACTCTGGTCGATTAATCACTTTCACGTCCATTTCTGTGTTTGAATTTTGTTTGTCTACTCTTGTAAAATTTTACTTATTAATTTTTCACTCAACGGTAGTATGGAGCAACACTACCAAAATCTCTTTATACGTAAGTCGTGTGTCTTCAACTTTAGTTTGATTTGTAGGTTATGCTAAATATTCTTGCAGTACCTGTGCTTTATTAGTTCGGTAATGTGTTTAATGATTTCTGTTTTTCGTCTGGCAGGATGAAATTTTCAGATTATGTGCAATTTATGTTTTGAACAGATTAGTAGATAGGCATATCATTTTATTCAGGTGATGACTAACGTAAAAAATGCCAACAATTGTTTTTCAAGGATCACAGAAATCTATTAAATATATGTTTGGTTTCTGTCTACATAAGCCTTAATGAGGGAAATTGGATTTTGATCACGGTCCACGCTCATCTGATTACTTTTTCAGTTTAGAAATTTCCTGCAGAAAATGTCTCCGGCATAATCGCAACAACCTTTTGTTTCCACTTGCAGGGCAAATTATTCGTTTTTTTTTTTTAAATTGAAGTAAATGTATTCATACCTTCCTCTAACGTAAGTACGAAACGGAATATGCAATTTATATACACGGTCGTACACAGTCTGTATAATACACATTAGTTCTGGCATTTTAACATTGTATGTAAATTTAGATGAGAATGCAAGGTATTTAGTGAGCACGGTGTAATATTTAACGTTTTACATATTCGAATAGGGAAACATTCCGACTTCGCCTCATACTGCTGCCTGCTTTTCATTCACTCATCTGAGACGGCAAGTTTCCATATATTTTTAAAATAGAAATTCAAGAACGGGGAAACTACGGCCTTTTCTTGATAAATTTCGTATGCACGTAACTAAATGGAGTAGCAAAAGTAAACAGCAGCACAGAGTTTTCGCTTTCGATCCCGAATCCCCGTTTAGAATGTGCGGTGAAGTCATTTGGAAGTTACACTAAAGTCAATTCAACCCACCCGCACTAGGTTGTTCCAGTCCAGTAGACACGCACTTTCCACAGTAGACCGCTCTACTAGATGGTAAGTTTGATCCGCCCCCGTCATTTGGTAGTGAAATTTTAAGGTTTTTTGCATTTTCTACTGAAAAATGTACTTTTTCCGAGAAGCTTAGGGATGCATATATCAGCGATATGAAAATGCGCTATGTTCTTGTTCGGCATTTCGCCACTGATAAAATGGCTAAAGGATCTGTTTTATGTAATATCGTATTGTATTACGTAAAGAATAATTTCATGTCGTATGAGCGGGCGCAGTATCGTATAGGTCAAGTAACCTCCGTTTCAGAATAGTGGAAGTATACAAGTATCCCTAAAAGTTGTCCTCTTGGGAAATGCAAATTAAGTGTTCTTTTTACTTTCGACGGGTGACCGTTTATTATGTTGTAAGGGTCTTTGTTTAGGGGTAGTAGTCTTTCTATATAAACCATACAATTTATAGTCTAACGTGGCACATAAGTATTTCACGCGAAGGCGAATGGAAATACTACTAGTATGTACAAAATAAAGCTCAATATGACCACACCGAGTTTTTGAATTCCTTCTTGCTTAAATATTTTTGGTGTTAATTTACTTTTACTTTTACTTTACTTTACTTTTAATTTTTGTTACATTCTTGAAACAGGTTAATTATTGTTGATATTAGGATATACGATAGTTGTGTATATGCCAATAACATATCCCATCGCATTTGGGTGGTATCCTCCTCCGCCAAATCACTCTTCTTAGCATAGTAAAAGCCAGCGTATTATTTGCTTCAATTTTACCAGGATGCAGAATGCAAGGCAGAGAGAGCGCACCAACTTTTGAGGCTGTTAACATAAATGTGGATTGGTACATGAACTGTTGGAATGGACGAAAACAATTTCACGTGAAAATTCGAGTTTGTGTATTCTTAACATTATGGGGGTAAGTTTAATGATAATCAAAGGATTCTCTGTTAGGATGAAACAAATGTAAAACAGATTAATGTTAGCAAGGCAGGGAAATACAAGGTAAGGGTAATGAAACTGCTTGGGCTTGAAAACGCACTTAAATTGGAATCACGACACAATAACGCCATAGTTCGAATTGCATATTATAAACTGGAAACAATTGTAACTAAATCAGTGTTCGAATCAAAGCAATTTTTTTCAATTAGGTACTCAAGGGAGGTGTGAGGGACAGTCTACAATCGGTACGAGTGATTACGTACCCCTTACAATCCCAATATCGTCTGCCTCCCGAGATTGAGCAAATTTAATATACAGGGAGTCTATAAAAGAACTCCGGGGTTTAAAAAATTAATATTTTTTAAACTATAAAAGATAGCAAAATTTGATCAATTCCTTTGAA